GCTGCGTATGACTTAATTTATTTTTTGGGGCTTTCACTTCCAGAGACAGTTGTAAGCACTGTGTAACTGCCTGGAGGAAGCTTGACCATTTTAACACAACGTGGTGCGATCATCCCCCGTTGCGCGGAGTGAGGGTTCTCGACCCCGCACAACATGATATACTCGACCACCATTATGGTTACCGCCCAAAAAAAAAACGAGGTAAAAAAAAAAACGGTAACCTGGTTGTGGAGTTCACGAAGTGAATTGGCTTGTTTTACAACGTCGTTGCCAAGCGACGAAAACCCAATCCCGATGGCAAACACCGAGTGGGGGGCTTGTTTTACAACGTCGTTGCCAAGCGACGAAAACCCAAACCCCGATGGCAAACACCGGGGGGGGGGGGTGTACTCATAGTCGTGCATGCCGTAGTCGTTAGACCATTGACCTCGCATCCCTACAAAGCCGGGACGGAGCACGCCGGGTTCTCACCGGACCAGGCTCTCACATCACCCAGCGCGAAGCGCCGTGAGGTATTTGGCGAGTCGCATGAAGGGTGAGCTGCCATCCTGCTAAGGGTGTTCGGCATCTTGTGCTTACTTCCTTGCGTACGGATGACAGCTACGTATGACTTAATTTATTTTCTGGTGCTTTCACTTCCAGAGACAGTTGTAAGCACTGTGTAACTGCCTCGAGGAAGCTTGACCATTTTAACACAACGTGGTGCGATCATCCCCCGTTGCGCGGAGTGAGGGTTCTCCACCCCGCACAACATGATCTACTCGACCACCATTATGGTTACCGCCAAAAAAAAAAACCGACGTAAAAAAAAAACCGGTAACCTGGTTGCCGAGTTCACGAAGTGAATTGGCTTGTTTTACAACGTCGCATCCCCACAAAGCCGGGACGGAGACCAGGCCCTCACATCACCAAACGCAAAGCACAGTGAGGTATTCGGCGAGTCGCATGAGGCACGCATATTGTTGTTAGACCTGGTTGAATAAAAAGTCGGCATGTTGTTAGCCGCTTGCGACGTCTATTGGATCAAGGAGGGGGAAACAGCCGCACTCAACGCTAACATTTGCCCGAACCGCAACAAACGAGCAACAGCGGTGAAAACTAGCAGCTGTAGCAGCGATACACGAGTGAGCTTCGGCAATTAGCTCACCCGTTCATCCACCAAGACCCACATAGAAATAAAAAACAACAGGTCTTCGGCACCCTCTCATCTACCCACACCAACATCGATAGCAACATGAACACCGACACCCACATCAATAACAACACCAACCGGGAAAAATAGGTCTTGACAAGCGATTCTTGACATCCAAGGTCCCCTGCGAACCTCACCCTTTTGTCCTCAATGTCGCGTGTGACCAGGGGCTCCTGCACGAACCGGTCCTTCGGAGAGCTGTCCTCCGACAAAGTGCGCAGTTCCAGGGTGATCTGATCGCGACGCCAACCAAACGGACGACAGTTTGTTTCACCATCAATTCCGCGGACACGCTCAAGCACTCGTGGCACTCGTGGCCGTGACACAAGAGCCTCGAAAGAAAAAAATAACATCGTTACGGCGCTCTCTCTCTCTGTTTCTCTGTTTCTCTCCCTCTCTCTCTCTCTGTGTTTCTCTGTTTCTCTGTTTCTCTCTCTCTCTCTCTCTCTCTCTTCTCTCTCTCTCTCTCTCTCTCTCTCTCTCTCTCTCTCTCTCTCTGTGTGTGTGTATGTCTGTCTGTCTCTGTGTCTGTCTCTGTCTCTGTCTCTGTCTCTTGTGTCTCCGTCACTGTCTCTGTCTCTGCCTCCCTCCCTCCCTGCCGACTGCAGACTAAAAGCAACCAAACACAACGTTCACCTTGTGGCCGTCCTCCGCTTTAGGGTAGTAGTGGTGAACGTGAAACGTGGTCCCCGGCGCCTCCGACACCACGAAGCATCTCCTTGGCCCCTACGCACACGGAAGCGCACGGGGCGTATGTTACCGAAAAGCAAGTGCGGAGCGCATTCCATCTAGCAGCAGCGTAGATGAAAAAACAGCATCCTCTATATCACCGCGACGTACTCGTCGTCCTTGACAGAACTGGGAGATAGGGTTTTGTATTGGAATACAGCGGTTGCTCTCCGCGAACAATCCATCTTGACAGACGCGTTCATTGGAATCATTTCGGCGCGAAAAAAACAAAGAAGCTGGCATATCGCGTTTGCCCCCGTCACCGTCATTATTTGCACTTCCTGCTCACAAACCAGGGGGGGGGGGGGGGGCCAGAGTTTGGGTGGATGCTAGAACACCTCTAAACAGGCTCTCGAGAAAGCAACCACTCCTAAGAGCCAATCAGCGTTCGGTCCTGGGGTCTGGAGTGCTACCACCACGGTAGGCACCCGCCCTCAAAGAACCTCTAGTAGTTTCGATCGAGGCTGGGGATTATTGTTATGGCCGTTGTTTAGGTTTCAGCGCAGGATCTGATCGGATTTTGAGTTATATTCGAGGCCCCCCCCCCAAAAAAAAAAGTACACCGCCAAGTTTTCAAGTGCTGAAACAGTGCTAGCTGTAAGACCCCAGCAACAAGAGGGATTGAGCAAACAGCACCAGCCCGTGCTACCCTCAGCAACAAGAGAAGTACAGTACAGCAGCCGCGGCAAACGTCACGCCGACGACCGCACGTCCAAGTACAGACACGCCCGACAGACCCCAGAATCTCCTAAATTTAGTATGTAGCCTTAGTCAGGATGCCATTAAGCTTTGTTTTAGTACAGGCGTGCCTCGCTTAAGGACACCAAAATCAAGGAAACTCCCTATATATAGGTTAAGGACGAATTTTTTCACAGGCGTGGTGGCTCGCAGAATGTACAACATACGGAGGGGTATCAACCTTAAGGATACTTCCCCGACTTAAGGACACTTTTTTAGCAAGAAAAGCAGGTGCGTCCTTGCCCGAGGTTCGACTGTAGTGGGGTTGGGGTTTAGGGTTACGAACCCCCCCTCTCTATTCCATATGGTAGATAATACTAATTCGTCGCGAAGGCGGTCGCCTATCTTATGTCCCCAAATCGGCAAGACAAAAAAACACCCCAAAACGAAAACAAAACACACCCAACATACTGGAGTATACTGCTGCTACAATAGTATTCCCATCATACGCATGCACAACACGTATGCAGTTTAACGTAGTTTACGCTACATGCGTACTACTGTGTCTCTTTGTCGTCTTGCTGCATACGCATGCAGTCTACGCTATGCGTACACTGTATCTCTTCAGCTCTCTTTGTCGTACTGCTGTATGGTGCACCTTTTCAGGTGCCCAATTACCTTCGGAGAGACGAAAAAGTACATCCCTTCCGGAGGTCGCTCGTCCTCCTCCTCTTCCTCATCCGCCCCACGGCTACCAGCCCCCCCCCCCCCGTCGCCCTCCCCCACCGTCAGCTTCCCGCTGGCGGGCACGAGCGGGTTTTCTGAGGCCACCGGCCGAACAATCCCGCCGCCCAAAAACACAACAAGGGTGGCGAAGACGAACGGCAGCAGGGGAAGGGAGAGGGGCCGTCGCCTGCTGCTGGCTAGGGCCGCTGTCGACGTCGCCGTCGTTGTTTCTTGAATTCTCGCCGCCTGAAGCGCGCCGGTGGTGGCCACCGCACACGGCCGCGCCATGATCGGGAAAGCCGTCGTCTACCAGAGCGCCGCTCGCACAACAAATTACCTCGCCCCAAAAAACGGTTCTTGCTGGTGGTGTTGGTGTTTAGACCCCCAGACCCCTGGACGGTATAAGGGCCCCTGTTTCGCCCAAAGCTTCTGCTTCTGGTGGTTGCCCTCGACTTGTTCTCCTAGGAGAAAAAAGCAGTACAGCAGTATCGCCAAGCCCAGAGCAGCGAGTTCAATGCCTGGGATTTGCGACACCGCAATAGTCGGTTCAACACAGCAGGGAGAGAGGGGCGAGAGAGGGGGGGATGAGCCTCACCAAAAGCCAACACAGTAAGTTGAACACAGCTGTCAGGTAAATACAGCCAGCAATCAGTTTAACACAGCACGGAGAGCGGGAGAGAGGGGCAAGAGAGGGGAGGATGAGGATGAGCCTCCGCTGGCGACTGCAGACACCCCGTGCACGAGTTTACGGTTTACAACGCGGTTGCGGTATGCACGGTGCCCGCATCGTTGACTGTAGGGTAACAACGGGCAAAGCGCCTTTGACGATGCCACTGCAAAGCGAGAGCGGTCTCTTTGCATGCAACCGCACTACTGCCACCTCCAAATTTTGTCGGCTATTCATCCACTCTGATGTTAGCGTGGTGGAGGTGTGTGGCGTTCTATCTCTTGTTTGCATCGAACTTGTTTGCAACCAACTTGCGGCGCAACTGGATTGTTGCGC